TATATATACATCGTAAAATAAAAAATCGGTCATTTTGACCGTGGTAGGTTTAGTGTTAATAAACGTTGACAATAGATCGAGGCTGAAGAATTACGACAGATCTTCTTGCATAATTTTATTTGAACCATAACGAACGGTACTACGGACGCGTTAATTTGGCAAATGTACAGCGATTCGAGTGCATTTTAATTCGGTGGGCCGATCGCCGGTAATACATTTGCCGTTTTATGCGCCATCGGATCGCTCTCGTCTAAAAGGTTAATACGTACTAATCTACTCCGGTGTGCAGCATTAGAGCACAGGGAGGTCGGATCGCGCTGTGGCTAAATGCGAACGTATAAATGCTATTGGATAAATTCGGGTTCGCAAATCAAGTGGTATAAACGCCGGATCGGATGCACGCTTTCCGAAGTTCATGCCAATTCATTGCATGCTCTATCGCATCCTCGAACTACATCGCACCGGAGGCCACATTTTCTTGGAACGCGCGAGTCTCATGAGCTTCGTTCTGCTTCCGGGTTAGTGGATCCTTGCGCTTTTTTACTGTGCATGCTCCCGATTGAGTTGAAAGTTCGTTCCGCGTTTCAAAGAGATATCGAAAATTGGCATAAAACGAACTTTCCTGCGTGTAATATTTCGCCGAATCGTACGTGATTTCTTAGAATTTGCCCGCGCTACTGTGTTGTTATAAACAATAGCACCTTCTTTTTCCATATGCTAATCGAAAAAGACACTGTTTAGTATAGTCGTACAGTCGCTCGCTAAAATATTCGAGCACCTTTTAACAATTTTTTCGACAATTGAGTCAAATGACTCGAATTTTCGCTGTAGACTCAATCAAAAAGTGGAAAAAAACACTGTCTATTTTTCTTGTCATTTCGATCAACTTTTGAGCAATTTGTTTAGATATTGTCGAATGAAAAAACTAGTGCTTGCAACATCTGAAAAAGATCAAGTTATTTGGTTTAAATTTATAAATGTTTATTGAGTTTCAAAACTTGTCCGAATATCTGAGTGACTGTACATGAATATCCTACACAAATGATTCAGAATGATTCATGACATAATTTTGGTTCACTTTGTTCAGAGAAATAAGATTTTCTTTTTCATTTGCACGTGTCAGTGCGTCAATTTTTGGTCCGTTTTGACTGCTTAACGTATAACGTGATCCATAAAAAGATATTCAATTATTATATTATTATACAATATACACTGTAATAATAATATTATATGTATATATATATATATATTATATGATAATATTTATATTATATTATTATATTATATTATTATATTATATTATATTATTATTATTATTTATATATTATTATTATATATTTATATTATTTTCGCACAGTTCCAGGAAATTATTAGACGAAGCTGAACGCTTCAGGTGCGCATCCACAAACGATTTTCGTTGCGAGGTAACTTCTGCACTTTCTGCAACACCGAAGAATATACAAACACGTTGGTGTTCAAGCCGCGATTCCACGTTGCAGAAGTAAAATAACTACCGAGAAAAAAAAAATATTGCCCGATACTTTCATGCAAGTTTTCGACGAGCTTACAAACTCCCGGAAGATGTCGAAGTTTTCTGGTTATACGAAACTTCTCCGGCACGAGCTGTCTCGTTTCCGCCGATATAGTTCTCGGTGTTTAATGCCGTGTAAGTGGAAACAATTTACGTAAATGAGCACTCTTCTCTCGGCCAGTTTAACCCTTTGCCCTGGAACCACGTCTCTCGGACGTGGGCCGGATAAAGATTATGAGTATAAGGCAAAGAGTTAACACTTAACCAACCGAATGGGGAGATCTCCCCGCTTTAAATTCAGTCGATTGATGACCAAATGGGAAATTATAATTGCTAAATTATACTATTATAATTTTATTAAGATTATCATTTTATATTATCATATTATATATTTTATATTATATATTTTATATTATATATTTTATATTATATATTTTATATTATATATTTTATATTATATATTTTATATTATCATATTTATATTATCATTTTATTAAGATTTGCAAGAGGTACGAATGTTGAAAAAGCAATCGATGCCATATAAGTTTGCTTCGCAGTTTTTATTTAATTGAATGAAATACTTTAATTTCATGAAATCTTTGATGCTTTTGGCGCGATCGTGAAAGAGTTAAGCAAAGATAAACGGGCTAGAAATTATTATAAGTATAAGGCAAAGGGTTAAAAACCTGACGAACGAATATACGATCGCCTCGTAAGAAATTCAAGACGCGCGTCGATTAAAAAATTATCCTGGAAAAAGTGCTCGCAGGAAATCAGGCGAAATACGAATTACACGGCTGCTCAAGGATTCGCGTACCATCGCCTTCGTAATCGTTGGAACCGTTGCATCGCGCGGCATGCATTTGTTGAACACACCACTTATTTATGCAATCCTCTGGTGGTTAACCAGTAATGGAATGACTTATCCGCCGGCACTAGAGACTTGGATTCCCGGGCGCGCGTCATGAAAATTCATATAAACGATATACATCATCCGCCGACTGCGTTTCCTCGGAGCACATTTACGAGAAAAATATGGAAAAACTGTCGGAAACGGCCGGCTACAACAAACGTACCGATTCGTAGATGTCATTGAAACGTCAGTGGCTTCGCGTTGACACCGGTCGTCGATAATGGTAACGATTTTTAATCTGTCTATTGTCCCAAGCAGCGTCTCATTTTTCTCGCTCATTTTTGCGATAAAATGCACGAAATCTAATCACAAGTCTAATAATTATAATACACGTTCGAGTAAATAATTTCGAATGATTTCCTACGAGAATCTTTTCAACGATGATTTCAAGACTTCGCGTGCCGGAAACGTGTTAATAAACTTGTCGATCGTTAAGTCGTTCGTAAATATTTATAATCAGATATCTGTAATTTTCTTTTAAATAAAAACGTCGAAAGAAGCTGAATTATATGTCGAAAATTGTCGACGAAATTGCTGTCACAAAATTTTCAAGCAATTTCGAAGTGTTCGAAATTCAGACTCTAAGAGAACGAATGGA